GCGAAGGGGGGGGGGAGGATGGATTATCCCCCTGTGCCCCCAGTAAAAGCACCTGGTGACCCCCCCATCCCCACTCTGGGGGGACCCTCAGCCCCCCCCAGTTTAGATCCAGCCGCTGAGCAGCCATGTGACAGATAAGCCCGGGAACAGACCCACCATGCACAGCAGTGAGTCCTGACCACCGCCCCGCGGAGCAGAGCTAATTGCCCTGGGGTTAATTGCAATTGTGGCACAGCCCAGAGCACCGCTGCAGGCACTGCCTCAGTTTCCCCTGGGCCAGGCACCGAGCCAGGCTTATGTTTTTGCAGGAGAGAAGCATTTGTGGAATAATTTTGCATTCATGGTATATTTTTGCATTCATGGTATATTTTTATAGTCGTGGTATATTTTTGCAGTTGTGTGAGCTCAGCTGGCAGCAAACCAGCAGCTCAATGCCGAGGCACAGCCCAGAGCATCCTCACCCCCTCTGCCACATCCCCCAGCCCGGGGAAGGGGGGAGCTGACCCCAGGGCACCCCATCGCCAGGAGATAAATCCTGCCAGGTGATGACCTGTCACATCCCCAGGCAGGCGGCCAGGCACAGGCTGCCAGTGCTGCCAGAGGTGCTAATGAGGATGAAAATGAAGTGTTGGACCTGGAGATGTCCCTCTGCCATGCTGGGCACTGGCAGGGACACCAGTGGTGGCACCGGCCTGGCAAACCCACCCACATCCCCGGTGCCCATCGTGGGGCTGGCAAGCCGACAATGAGAGGCAAGGAAAAAAAAACCACCCAAAACACCAATTTTCTTTACAAAATACACAAAATTCAAATCCGTGACAATTATATACAAAACAAGGAAGATATAAAACGTGCGGAATTGTTCTGTTTGCACCCGTATAGAAAAGTGTCCCATGCTGGAGCAGGCATCGGCTCACAAGGCCACCAGCCCCTGCGGTGTGTCCCCCCCCCGTCCCGAGTCCCATCGCCGGACATCCTGCGCCCGCGGCTTTCTCCTGCACCGGCAACCTCGCTGCGGCTACTGGGGAGCTGCCAGGGGGAGAGGATGAAGGGGTCGAGGGGGGTCCAAGGCCCCATAGCTCCCCCGTGGTTGCTTGAGGGTCCTGGGCAGGTGGGCTCAGCCGTGCCACCCCTTACCCATCACCGTTGTCTCGGGTGCCACATCCTCCTCCACCTCTTCTTCCTCCCCATCAAAGTACTCCTCTTCTTCCTCGGCTGCAAACAGGTGGCCAAACGTCACTGCGGGGCCACCGGGAAAGCCAATGGGGGCCACCAAGTCGGTGGTAGTTGGTAAAGGGGCATCAGGGGGTCAGGGGCTGAATTACCAGGGTTGAAGTCCAAGGCGTGGACGGCCTCGGTGAGGTGGTCCAGGCTCACCGAGAAGGCATCCATGCTCTCGTAGCCATGCTCGAT